GGTCACGATTGTCCGGTAGTGTTTTATTTTTCATTTTTTTTCTACAAATCGGAATAACCTGAAATTTGGAGGGTATGTACATCTTACAAAGGCGGCGCATCTAATAAAAATACAAAAAAAATTATCCGCAAAAAATAAATTGAACAAAATACCCCCGAAACCTTTTGGGGGTATTTTGGTCAATTTTTTTCTTGTAAAGTTATTTTTTATAATTTTTCAAAGATTCCCCTAATTTTGATGAATACACGCTCCAAATTTCAGGTCATTCCGATTTGTAGAAAAAAAATAAAAAATGAAACACTACCGGACAATTGTGACCTCGCGATGAACTTTAGACGGTGATGGAGGTAGGCAAAATCACTGTTCATTTTTTGCCTATAGGCGTTGCATAGTGTTTTCCTATATATATATATATATATATGAATCAACAAAAGCAATCTATGGAAATAATCCTTGGCCCATGGAAAACCCTGACATCACCATCAACATCAAACGCTTTAATAAGAAGGCAAATATAAGATATTGATATATCTCCCTTTCAAACACCAAGAAGTACTTAAACTCCAAGTACTAAAACCACACATTTGGAAACAACATATATTCCTTTGCTCATTATAGAAAATAACCATCATTTGAAAAACCCGACTGAAATAGCTGCCACATATTTAAGGCAACATATGCATCCCAATATGAATGAAAGATACAGGGAATGGTATGAAAATATCCTTATGGAAACAAGTTCGGTATTTATAGTACACCATTACCGAAACAATGATACAGAAATAGCATACTCCAAATTCCAAATCAAAAAGGTTATTTCTTACCAAGAATGGGGACTAGATCCTTTAAAACCAAAGATCACCAATACAAAGGATTTAAAATCAAATTCTATCACTACTTCGAATATATAAAAGCTTGGGATGAAGTTTTTGCATACCAGAATACAAAAAATTCACATAGCTGGTATATTCAGTTTAAATTAACTGAGTCGAATGAGTTTCCCAATTGGTTTAAAAATTGGTTCTCTACAAATTTCATAGAGAAAACTCTCTGATTACAATAGTCAAAGTCTTAAAAGACACTACCATATATATTTTATGACCTTATATCAGGTTCTGTGGATTTTAAAATGGGATTATCAAATCTCAAAAGATCCTATTAATAGATGGGATTATATTCACGAACTAAGGAGACTAATATACATCAAATGGTGGGAGAGTTATAAAAATGAATCCCTCAGCCCAGACAAAATAAAAATGAAACTTATACCTTCAGTTTCATCTCAAAAAGAAAAAATGGAAATAGCAATATTACAACAACAAAACCCTAAACTATCTTAAGAATAGCTTAAAAGGAAGCTCTAGAGTGCTATAGAAGACAATGAAAAAATATCCACCTCTACTCAGAGTGATGAACAAGAAGACTACAGTCCAATGAATGGTGATGACTGTGTAGGCATTGAATTTTCTTCAAAGTAAAGAAAATTCACAGAGGGACCTGGACGACTCCACCCATATCCAGGACACGTGTCCCTTCACCAACAGAACCGACTTTCTACTGTAGCCACCACCGACAGGATCTACTTTTTACTGTAGCCACTACAAAAAGCTGCAGAATCTACTTTTTACTGTAGCCACTACAAAAAGCTGACTAAAGCAGACAAGCATCTTGAAAAAGATTGTCGGTGCAGATTTCAAAGAGATTTCAAATCCGCCTAACTCCTCTGGCTATAAGAAGAAGAAACCCTCTCCCATTTCTCATCGGATGTTTGGAGCCGGGAAGAGCCGAGTTGTTTACCTCCGACTTATAATATTCTTTTGCGTCCTTCTCTTTCCTCTCTCCC